CACCTACAGGTAACCAGTTCAACGAATCTCCATTGTCACATCGAAGAATTCCCTGAAATCTAAGCAACAGCAGATTTCCGATCTGTTACAATGAAATTATACTCATTGTAAAGCAATTTCATGATACATACTCTTGTGAAAAATCATCACACACTCAAACTGCTAAGAATTGCAAGAATTCTGCATTTTAAATTCAAAGGCTGTATAAAGACCATTACCTTAGTCTTTAACAATGAAAGTTTCATGTGGTTAGTCATTTTTCAATCCACATAAATAGAAGTATTAAATCATGAGATTGTTCACTAAGATGAACACTTTCTTGCAAAGAAGTTGTGCACTAATAACTTCTTTTAGCCTTTGAAAAAGAAAACTTCTTTCAGCCTTTTCTCCGATATACTTTTCCCTCGAGCTGTAACATTTGATATTATGTCAGTTCCCATGCTTAGTCTCATTCTTTCTCATTCCCTAAATCAATATGCTTTTAACCATTTGTCTCTTTAAATCAGAACAACAATAATGTATTAGTAGTATTTAGTACTTCAAATAGCGGCCTTGCTTCACACAACCTTGGTTAAGTAACTATATGTCTCAACCCCATCAGACTCCTTGCAATCTTTTTCCAACAGACTAAAGAACTATTTTTTCTTGATGGAAAGAATGCCATAGAGTTCCGACTAGCAATGGGGACCTATCATGCATATTTGGATCTAAAATAGGGCGTTACTCAAGATTTTATGAAACTCCATATTTCAGAGATTTCCAATTTCTTACTGGAAAGCGATCAAGCATAAAACAAGAGGGATTAAAACCATACAATTTGATAAAACCAACAAGTGCAAAAAGGAATTTTATGACTTCAGTCATGAACGATCTATTAACAAAATTTGAAATTTTAGCGGATAAGCATAACCAATTTGTGCTGTCATTTAAACAGTACAAATGCTTACATAAACTAACACATCAATGCAACTTCAATCACTTCAATAGAAGCTGAAGATTAATTAGCGACACTATAACTTCAATGCAAAATATCAATGTTATATGGAGTCTTAATAGCAACAACAATGACTAATCATACCTCAGTCTATCTGAACAATTTCAACCGTTCTGAACTGCTGCAAACATGTTGGAGTAAGACTTGGTGAAATATGAAAAATCAGCAGTAGGAGGTAGCATTGGCACTCTTTCTCCTTTCCTCAGAAGCTCCTGCAGGACTATCCTCTGCAAAGTAATGACAGAATCTGACTTCTCCCAAACAAATGCAAGCAGTCCATTCTGAAGCACATACAATGCGCCAGGCTCGAGATCAGAGCATAGGAATCCGTAACTGGTGACGACGCCTTCTCCATTGTAACTCTTCTTAACTTTCACTCGAGGAGACTCTCTATCTATGCCCCATGGAAACGGGTTCTTAGGTGCCTCATCAAGCCTCACAGTGAACATTGGAGAGCCGTTTGGATAGAGGAGACGCTGTGTTCCTTCCAGAATCTTGGTTGCAATCAGAAGACGATGTCCCATGACCTCCTCATAAGAAAGCAACACCAAGAACAAGGCCTTCTCCGGCTTATCTTCAAATGGCCAGCCAAAGGTGCCACCCCACAGGCCGGCATGCTCATGGCAGGCAGTTGGGACCTGCATCGGGAGCTTATACAGCGCAAACCAGTCATAACTCATATCGGGCCACGCCATATTTGTAGCATCCATCTTGTGTGCTGCTTTTAAGCTTAGTCCGATACTATCACTAGACATCAAGAAGTTGAGCAGTCCGTCTGGGGTGCTCCACCAATAATTTCCACTGCTCGATACCAAATCAGCCACCTGAGGAAACATTGATCTACTCATATACTGTTTGGGCTCATCTCTCAGGTTCTCAAACACCGAGAAAAAGGCCTTTCTTTTGCCAGCGACGGTGCTCTGGTGATCATTAATCCCATCGCAGCCGTCAAGGCTTCGATGCTTCATCAAGCCCGGCACCAATCTGTTGGTGGCTTTCATTTTGATGCGTCTTCTGTTGAGCATGTGCATCTCAGTGAGTTGCGACCATCGACCAGCCAAGAGCTTTGTGTCGTTGCAGGGAGAACAACGTTCGAAGAGAGGAGCGGTGGCCAGGTCCGAAGGGATCTCAAGGGCGACTGTGTCAGCCACCTCGTTCAGAAGCCAATTGCGGTCGCTGAAGGACAATTGACTAAATGGGTTCGCCGGAGGACTGGAGATGACGTTGGTATTCAACCGGCGAAGATGTCTCGTAAAGGTTGGATATTTGCCCTCAGAAAGGAACGAGAAGCACCCGGAGTAGGGTAAGCGAGGAGGGTTTGGTGGGAAGCAGGGGTCTCTTTGACGGACGTCGACCTCGAGGAGGAGGACGTTGCAGGAAGAGTCGATGGGTTGGACGGTGCCCGGGTAGAGGCGGTCCTCTCCGCGATCGCCACGGCCATGGAGAAAGAGGCGGGAGGGGGCTCCATCGGCGTCAGCGAGGACCTCGAAAACCGGCGCCCACAGGAGAGGTCCGCTGTCGAGGCCGAGCGGCCCCACCTCCTGAGGTATGACACTGACGCCGACGACGGAGAGGAAGCCCCAGAGGACGCAGACCACGTTGCGGAGCTCGGGGTTCTGATGGACCCACACGCCGAGGAGGGGCTCGACGGAGGCGAGGAAGCGACAGAGGGTGAAGTAGGAGTCCACGCCCTCGCGCCACAGCGGGAGGGCGTGGGGCGGCGGGCCGATGCGGCAGCACTGGGCGAACCAGATCTTCTCGGAGTCGGCGATGGCCTCCCAAAGTCCTCGGCAGCAGAGGGCGAGCGCGAAGAGGTCGCGCAGGCCGAGGCGGCCGGAGATGAAAGCTAGAACATCGTCCGGCAGCGCGAGGAACAGCCCGGAGCCGCAGACCTCGGCCGCCGCCTCGTCCGACATTGCTCGAGGATCCGTAAAGGTGGCTCCTTTCGTCACTCTTCTCGATCGCAGACCAAAGGATAACCAAAAGTGGCTCCTTCTCTTCTCGTATCTCGTCAAAGTTCTTGGGTTGCCTCGTCATAGAACCAGAAGAGAAGCGGAGCAGAGAGAGGATCGCCGTGACGGAAGCGATTCGGAGTGATACTAGGAATCGTTTGGTTTCTGCACCACCGCCACGAAGCCTGACCACACCGTCGGTTTAGGTTCAGTAGAACCTCGAGTCGAAACCGAACCAGTAACACTGGTTTTAGTATCGGAACTGAACCGCGGTTCCGGTTCGGTCGATTACAGTTCCGATTTAAACTGATAATTTTTAAATATTTTTTTAAAAAAATAATTATAATATAAAATTTTATACTTTTTTTAAAAAATTTTAAAAAAAATTGATGTACATCTATAACGATCGTAAATCTATAATGACATAACAAAAAAATTTAGCATAAAATTATAAAATATAAATCTCTATCGTTGTCGAGACGTTCTAGTTTGGATAATCTCTTCGTTGATCGATTGAATAAGAGATCATTTTCTTCACAAATAATCTATTGTTTCTATTTCATTGTCCTTGTCTAATTATTGAGGTAAGCTTGAGTTTTAATTTATTCAGGGGTTATGCTTGATGTGGTTTCACTTAGGATTCGTCCTTCGACAAGAAAGGATTGCTCGACAATTCTCATCAACACCTGAGTCGCTAATATTTACCTTGCAAACTTCGTCAAGATTGAAAATACTATCTACTCTTAAATTTAGATAATAAATAGACAAATAATCGTTTAAGTCATCTAATATAATATGTGAATCAAAACCACATGTAACAAAATAAACCGATATAATTTTTTAAAAATAATTAATCAATTTTAGTTTTATAGCCATGTCATGTCATGTATAAACCATCATCATTTTCATATTCTTGTACTGCACTAACAATATTAATATAAATAATTAAAAGAATATGTGCAGTAGGATAATAAACACTGCACAAAGTATATGTTGCATTATTAAAAACTTTTAAAATTAATTCATTCACACATTCCAATATTATGGACATAAAAATATATAATAATTTTTTATATTCAAATATTTTTTAATAATTTATACGTAGAATTCTATGGGGTGGAAACATCTCTAAGAAATCTTTTGGGTCTTTTATCATTTAATTTATAAAATATGACCTTTTTTTTATTATTTATGGATGACGCCACAAGAATGAAATAGCTTACTTAATAAAAGAAAGAAAAGTTTTAAAAGATTAAAATCCATCTTGTATGCATAAATTCAAAATATGGTAGGCACATCTAACATGAAAAAAAAAATATCATCACAAACTACTTGTAATTCCGATATTTGTTGATGCATTATCAAAACTAATAGAAATTTTTTAAAAATAAAATAATATTCTTCTATAATTATTTTTATCATTCTATAAATATTATTGGCGATAGATAGTTCATCGAAACAAAAAGAGCTTAAGAGAGAGCTTGAGAAGGAGCATATGGTTTAAACTTCAAAATGAGTGCTTAATCAGAAAAGAATAAGAGATTTTGAAGTATTTTCTTTCCTAAAATGCCAAAACTAACTAACTGTTATGTTCTTTTTTTCAAAATTTTTATTTTGTAATAAAAATAATTAAAATATCTATCTTCGAATATAACCATTTATGTAACGAGAGGAGTACACCATTGGCTGAGCCCAACAGTCAGTCAATAGCCTATCGATCAAGATGTGTTTTTTTGTTGAACCGCCAAACCGAGATCTACAGAAGCGACGTGCTTAGCTAAATATCAATGAAATATAATGCAGACTTTACATATCATTTTGATGATAATAGCCAAAACACACCATATAAGTGCATACCAAACCCAATAGATCACGGAAATCAAAATTCTCCGCAAGATAAATAAATAAAGAACTTGTATTTGCAATAAATAAAGAACTTGTATTTGCAACAATTTTCAAGTAATCAAGAATTTTCTTAATTTCTCTTGCAAAACTCCAGTTAAAATCACATCAAAGGAAATCAACAAACAAGCTCTCTAACCACTTAGAGCACAGAAAAAGAGAAATGGTGCGACCGACCCTTTTTATGTTCAGATGTGTCAAGTTGCAGCATGTTACATAGGGAAAGCAGCAGCTATTGCGGAAAGGTGGGAAGAAGCATAACACATGTACAGGTTGCAGCTCGCGAAAGCAAATGCTTCTACAGATAATAACTTGTAATGAACTGTTAATGGAGGAAAAAAGAGGGACCACCAAATAGCGACAGTAGTTGCATCAAATGGTGGCCGAGCACAAAGGGTTTCGTTGGCGGAATGTTAAGAGGACTACTAATCAGATGTAAGGTCATACAATCAAGAAACAAAAGGTAACAACAACTAAAACCTGAACTAATTTATGTAATCCTATGTCGCAGCAAATCAGCTTGGCTGGTCAGAACCTGTAGGACCGGGTAATTCGAGACTTGGTTTCGGTTGGTAACTCATATTTGTGTCATCCATGATTCTGGGCGACTTCTGCTTCTCAGTGATATGCTGAGAAGGAACCTTCTGGGAATGAATGTGTGTGTCACTCAACTCTGATTCTGCCTTCCTCTTCAATTTTTTCTTTACATCAACAAAAGCTTTGCTTGCATCCTCCGGGTTCGTGCTCATGTTAGCAACTCTAACCTTGTCAGGATTTTTCAGTGTATGTTGACTAGAATCAGCAGGTTGAACAGAATCCATTGATCTTCCTGTTGAACCAGCAGGTTGATTGGAAATTAGCTTGTCCAACGGAGCAAGAAACCGAGCAGTGGCTTCAACGACTGGGACTGGCTTCTCCTGTCCAGCTCGTAGCTGAGCAGCTGGATTAGTCTCGTCTATTCTCTTTGTAGAAGCCAACTTTTTCCTCTTGATTCTCTCTTCATCATGAACCTGAGCAGCATGCGTGAAAATGTCATTTTCTATGCACAAGGAAAAGCCTCGGAACTGCAACTTTCACAGTTTACAAGAAAACAAAAGGGTAAACATTAGATAAGCATCAACTGAAATAGAGCTATAACAAATGCCCTGTATTTTGTCAGTCAATTGGTAACAAATTTGACACCTTTAGTGCTGAAAATTATTAGGTGTTAGAATAACATTGCTGATTAGAATAATATCCCAGGCTTAGAAGAAATCTATTTCAGTTAATAGATATCTCTTCTTGGCTTACTGCTACAAAAGCCAATCCATTAGCGTCTGTGAAATCAAAAGCATCTGAAATTTACTTGAGAATTCACAAGGCATTATGAGGTCTTCCTACAGAGATAGCAAATATTTAATGGACTCGCAAGTTTGTGTCCATAAATAATTTGATTAGCTATCTTCTTGAGTCAAAGAGCAGGATTTTTATTTCTTTATCTGACTTGAGAAATTTAAGTTGTGCCGCATCCCAGCTAAAAAATTTTTACAAACTCATTTAAACCATGACAAATGCATACTGCTCTCTAGCAAAGGGAAAGAATATGTTGTACATGCAACAGCCTCAGACAACCACAAGTACAACAGGATCAAAGTTCAGACCCATGACTCTCTAGTCTGTTTCAATCTGCCAGGCACAATGAGAAGCAATCTGTTACTATACTACCTGCTACTTAATGTCAAATTTTCAACTTCCACATTATTTATTGAGGCTTTGAAAGTAGATTAGGATATCTGAAATCAGTGATTTAAAAAGGCACTCGGGTGCTTGCCTAGGCGCTCGGGCGAGGCGAGGCGAGGCCCGAGCGCCCCGCTTCACTTCCAGGCAGCGCGCTTCAAAGAGGCGCCGCCTGGGCACTCACCCGAGCCCAGGCGCTTTGGGCAAGCGCCTGGGTTAAACCAGGCGACCGAACCAACGTTTTAGGTCTGGTTGGGTCTCCGGTGCTTTAGTTGGTTCAATCGAACCAACTAAAGCACCGATATTAGCTGTCGCTGCCCAACCCTAACCCTGCTCGTTGCCGCTGCCGCTTCCACTTCCGCTGCTCGCCGCTGTCGCTGCTCGCCATCGCTGCCGCTCCCGCTGCTCACTATCGCTGCTGCCTCCTTACACTCCCGCTCCCGCTGCCGTTGCCGCTTCCTCTTTTCTCAGTCAGCACCCCCTTACACTCCTCTTCCTTCTTCTCCTTCTGTATACTATTAACAGTATACTAATAATAGTATTTGTATTTATTAAATTAATAATATATTATTTTGAATTTTGAAACTTTTTGTTAATGTGACATTATGATTTTGTATCTTAGATTTTCTTAATTTAATAGCATATTTTTATTTAATATTTTAAATAATTATATTATATATTTTTATATTTTAGCGTCTCGCTACACTCGGACGAGCGCCTAGTGCCTCAGGCGTTTTTGGACCTTAGCGCCTTTTGGCGCCTAGGCGCTTTTTAAATCACTGTCTGAAATTAAATTATCAATCAAGTTTTAGTAAATATCACTAGCAAAATCAATGTTTATCATAGACCATCACAACTTCAGGTACAAAGAATATCTCAACTTCCACAACAATTTTAAACCGCAAGTATATGTTAATTGCTAATTATACAAGACAAAATTATTGGCATTTAAGATTTTACTGCAATGAGAGTTTGTACTACAGTAACAACGTGAACCATTAAAAATCAACAGAATGCAGAAATTAGATACTACTGATGCGCAAGTTGTTTTACACAAAGAACGTGCAAATTAATAAACCCATAATGTTAATCAAAGGAAAGAATTAAAAGAAAAGTCACAGAGATCAATCCAGATATCAAGACCTTATGCTGCCTGTAAAGTGATCTTTTCCTTTCCTTCGATCTGTAAATGGCATCTTTGATTCCAACATTATCCATGTAACCACTGGGCCACAATTCTGCAAGCTGGCAAGTAGGAATAAACATGTCAATAGAAAAGTAAGAATCAAGCTAATTAAACGTGAAACTAAGCAAAAAAAGGATACTATGATAACAAACTTTACTTTGAGAAAATGTTTTTTCCTTGGAAAAAAAAGAGTGATAGAGCAACTGTGTTTTCTCAAGAATAACCAACCAAAAGAAATATGCATATGAAAGAACATCAGTATTTTGGAAAAAAAAAAGGGGGGGGCAAAATAATAATCAATCAGCATTTAATGCTTCAAGGGATTATTTGCTGGTGAAGTCACAATTTTAATTAAACAAATAATCTAAGACAGAAGAAATGAATTATATTAAATGGTCAAAGTTTATATAAGCAGACTTCTATGAAAAGAGATCAACAAACAAATAGTATAATTATATATCAAATCAAGAGAATCCTTGAGAGATTAGCACTACCTCTACATAAAGCTTCCTGCTTTGAGGGCCTTTGTCTTCATCCATTCCCTGAAATAAAACATAGATAAAAACATTTAGAAAATAAGTCCATCCAGAACCTATGCAAAAACTGGACTATGAGGGCATTTAATTTTTGACAAGATTAAAAAAAACTGATCGACAAACACTAGGATGATAACCTTGGATAAGCCAAAAACTTCTAACAAAGGCCTTTGAAGTCTATGAAAGGTCCAGCTTTACATATAATATAATAGCTCATCTCAAAGTACCCTCCTCAACCAAACTCCTTATTTCTTGTCTCCTATTTTGACATGAATCGGCATCCAAATTTCATCTAAAAAATGAAAGGACTTTATGAAATTAGTTATGTTTGGTACCTCAACATACAAATCATAGAGATCACAGATCTTGTCTTCTAGTGCAGCATCCATACTGTATCTACCTTTTAGAGTTCTTCTTTCATCATTATTGATTTCCTGAAAATCATCAGCTGAACCATCTTGTTTCTCAGCCAACTGTCAAAGAAACGCATCATAATGAAGAACAGGAAGCAACTGAAACAAAATTTCATTGCAAACAAGTAAGACTGTGTTCATGTCAATTGTGAATTAATAATCGATTTCGATATCAGGAATTTAGCCTGTCCACTAGTCAACTAAATATAATACCAATAACATGACCTATAAGCATACCTTGGACTTCAACTGAGAGACACGTGCTCTGATCATCTCATTGACTTCCCTTTTTATTTGTTGAAATCTATCAGCTTTCTGTTGTTTTGCTGAAAGACCTAACTCAACCATCTCTCTCATATTTTTCTACAAAAAGAAAATGATCTATTAGACTGGAAAACATAAATACCGGACAACTTAGAAGTGAACCAAAATAGTGCATAAAACCAGAAAAAATCCATCAACAACATGGAAGAAAAGCACCATCTCTTATTCCATTAATGTAATGGCATACATCAAAACCATGAAAGAAAACTAGCTCATAAACTGTCATCAATGTAATCAGCTTTGAGAAACAAGAGAAACTAAATGAACCTCAATAAAGTATTATCAACAACAATTGGAATTGTATATACTAAATCTACAAGTAAGTTACCACACAATATTTAACCAAAGCTCCTTAGCACACCTTGTAACGAATGTATGTTTAGTCTTCTGAAGCCTTTAAGCTTGGATCAAATGGCTAGCTAACAAAACTCACAAATCAAAAATGGTATGCAAGCAAAGAGTTAATGTTCCTAACTTCCATTTTGGCCAAGATTTCACTAGCAATAATTGTACAAAAGTGCGCCTTCAGATCAAGTTTTTAACAGTTGCAGACTCCTTGCAGAACTCTCCCTCATTAGACATGTATTAGTCTATGTTTTAAATATTTATAACACCAGTAGCAGTCTGGTATTAGATCAACTTCTTATATGCTGTAAAGAAAGATATCACACTACCTTGAAGTCAGTTCTCCAAGCTCGGAAGCAGTACCAATATCTTCACTCACTATTCTTCCTAAACAGTTATCTCCACTTACTGTTCTTCCTAAACAGCTTCCAATCAGATTTTTGGTGGAGTGAGAGTATGAAAAGAGAAAAAAAGAAAGAAAAGAAACCAGTGGGGCAAACTATGAATGATTAAAAGAAAATCAGATTCTTATTTAGTCAAGAAAAAAAAACAGAACTTATTTACCAGTGAGGCAATATGTTAAACAGAATTATTCTGCATAATACACAGCATATTGTATATTTTCTCTTTTTTGGAAAACATGTACAAGGAGAATAGTCTTTAGAAACTCCTCCAAGTAGTTTTGAATCCCTTAAATTCCAAGAGAAAACAGTGCTAGTCAACTGAGGAGTGATCAACTGAACCTTCAGACTCTTGCATATCAAAATATTTAAATATATTGGGGCAGAGCTGCAGAGGTCAACCAATCAACCGACCCATCCTGCAGATTGATCAATCAGTAAGCTGTGAAACTCGATATACACAAACCCAGTCTAAACATAACTTCAGATTGCAGCAGCAATAGTCCCACATGTCTATAACCACAAGAACACTCCTGAGCCCCAAATGTGGTAAAAATGGTTAGAGAAGCTAACAACATTGCACTGAGTCATTGCCATCAAGAACTGACCTAACTTTCATTCTGTTCCCTCGTTTGAGCCATGCAGCTTCTAGATATGATGTTTAAACCTCCTCACCTAGCAGCGCAGCATGTGAGAATTGCATTTGTGCAGAAGAGATACCTGTCTCCAGTGAACTTATGGAAACACTGATCACAGCTTTTGGGCAGATACATCAAAGGTGTTGTTTTAGCTCTAGGTATTCTAGGATTCATCCTCCAACATTCACATTTGAAGACATCATACGAATTTTAGTCAATGTGAAATCCATGGGTTGAAAAACCGCCTGGACTCCAGCCCTTTTCGGGTGGTTCTCTCTCAACCTTGAGCCCCACCCCATAAGCCACCTGCCTCCCAAATTGCTACTTGTGCTGATCAATACTTCTCTTCCTAGTCCTCTCCTCTTCTCCTTTGTCTCCTCTGCCTCCTCTATGGTTCCTCCTCTCCCTCCTTCTCAGTACCACAACACGATCAAAATATCATGTGTTAGTGTACTCCTATGGGCGGAACCTGTACTGGTCTGGCCAACAGCTAGTACAGATCCAGTATTTGAGACTTAAACCCTGGTGAAAACAGTTCCTTTGCTCTGCAATTCACATCCTTATTTTCTCCACTGTTCATGTGCATATACCTTACAGTAGCGAGCATGGTTGATATTTTAAAATTTCATTTGAATTATTGTTTGAAATCAAATCCAAATCCATCATTGTTTAGTCAATTTTTTGAAAATTATTAGTCTATTATGAATCCTGTTGATTATTGTCATCGTTGGTGTGCTTGTATAGTTCGACCTACATTGGTGATCCTAACACTTCTCTGTCTGTATTTAATAAAACTGTGCAAGTTATTTGCGATCTCAACTCTCATGATGCTTGTGCAGTTGCCATAGTCTGTCATCCAGAACCTAAAACTGTTAACAACTAACCAGTGCAAGCATAATGCCATGGAATTGGCTTATAACTGTATATGAGGTGTTTGACTTGTATAATTTGTGTTTGATTCATGACATTCTTCACAATCATGGTGTTGGACTCAGCACCAAAGACAAATATTGATGTTTGCCTCTTTGACAAAGAATATGCCACCATAAACGTGAATGGTGTTTTAGCATAATTCAGATAATCAGATCGCGAAATCAAATTTTCTTTCAGAAATTTCCTAACTCAATCCAATTTCATCTAAATTATGGGGTTTGAATCGTTTGATATAATTTCCTATACTTGCATGATAATATTATTTAGCTATATAATATAATTCATATTTAACATGCTCTCACTATACTATTTGACTTGGTTTGGCTTGTAATAGTGCAATTAAATGGCTGGTGAGTTCATGAACTACAGATACTACAGTTGTCCTAACACTTCAGGGAGGACTAATTTGTCGTATGATAACTTCAAGAAAGTGGAAATAATTGTTCAAGAATTTATCGCAACTGCAGTCATTTCTTGATTGTCATTTTGCCTATGGTTATCATAAAAGGTTTTGTGCTGATTAAACAAAAAGGCATACAGTTCTACAAAAAAAGCTGCTAAGCACATCAACTTAAACCATGTGCAGCATACCAAATTAGCTAATCCATGTAACCAGGCATGAAATGATTGCAAAAAGTTAGAATCATGACTATGGAACAACCAAATAAAGTTCAGTCATACATTGAAAGAAGAATAGCAAACGTTTCAATGAAGATTAATTAAAATTAACAGCACAGATCGATGTATGGAGCATCGACAACCTCGTGCAGAACATGCAAGATGAAGCTTCATGACTAGCATAATCCAGGTAAAACAAATATAGGAAAATTTAGTTCATCATGAGTAGCCAATGACGATATTTAGAACTTCAGATTTTCTGAAATTACCTTCAGTGTCTTGCGCTGAACTAGGTGACCTAGAATGCCCATAAGTCGATCAATCAACTCATCTTCAGAAATTTTACCTTGGCTTGCCTGCAATAACAAAGAGAACCATTCACTTTTATACTGTCAAAAATTTCAATAGAAAAGCAAAATAATTTGTCAAATCATAACTAGTAATCAAGGAATCTGTAGATCCTGGCCCAATTACATCTGTGGAGTAATTTTTGTCTGATATGATGTTAAGAAGCCAAGAGGATACTTTAGGGGATATACACACGGGAAGAGAATAAACCCAAATATGAGGGTCTGCCATGTGATCATGGATGTGCTCAAGAGTACCAGGTCTGACTCATAATTTATGTTTATGAAAATATAACTAGAAAGACGTATGCTATTTAGACATTCATACCTCACAGCCTCAAAAAAGTCATCAAAATTGCCCAAAATTGTTATGTATTTTGACTATTTGGTTCTTGCTCACGTCTCAGTATTTTCTCAAGAAAACCTAAAGTCAAAATATTTTACAACATCTAGGTAGTAAAGGACCGTAACAAGAAAGCAGAAAATTCTAGAAAGTGAGAAAATAGAAGCATGATAAGTAGATTTGGTTACCTTGTAAAAAAAAAACCCAAGTGATCGATGCAATTTCAACTTACACCTGAGTTTTCTCCACTGTCTCCTAGGCTGATATCTAAGATCTTTCTGACACCGTTTTCACAGCCCCATGAATTTAGAAGATTCAGCAATAGCCGAAAACTTCCAATTTTAGTGATCTATGTTGGATTTGCAACAGTCTGGGCTGAATCCATGCAGATCTAGCCGACATCTTTACTGTCTACTAGGCTGAGATCTAAGAGCTTTCTGACACCATTTTCACAGCCCCATGAACTTGGAAAATTCAGGAATAGCTGAAAGCTACTAATTTTAGTGATCTACGTTCGATTTGCAACGATCTGGGATGGATCCATGGAGATCTAGCCTACATCTACACATATCAAGGAGAGATTCACATGCATCTATGGTAGATATGCACAGATCCAGGTTAGATTTATTCGAATCTTAGGCAAGCCAAGGCCAGATCCATTTGACCTAGCCTAGATCCATATACATTTAGCCTATATCTACTAGGCCCAGTCCATGAGGATCATGTGGATCTAGGTCAAATTCACAAAATCTCAAATGGATTCAAAGAGAACTCGATCAGATATGAGCTTCTCCAACTTCAATTTAGTTAGATCTAAGATATATTTGCATAGATCAAGCCTGACATGAGGTGAAAAAAATTTAATATTAAGGTGAAAAATCTAAGTACAAAGATTTAATCAAGAGAAAGTAACAAAAAAAACTTATTTTAATTTCAGATTTACCAAGGTCTGAAGATAAATACCACTCCTTTCTTGACTTTGATCCTTAATTTGCTAAGATTTGAGGGAAATTCAGAGTTCCGGAAGTAAATTTGAGAGAGATTAAGCATATAATGGGAAAATAGGGTGAAAGTAAATAGTTCATCACGAAGGAAGAGATTTTTCAATTGGGTTAAAGTGGAAAACCAGAAGGTATGCAATAAATTTGAGAGAGACCGAGTGTAAAAGGGGAAAATGGGGTGAAAGTGGCTGGTGGGGGTGGGGGAACGGGTTCCTGACTCAGGTTAGAATGAGAAAACAGGGAAGTAATTACCGACAATATATCAACAGGTACAATCAAAATAATAGGTATGGTATGAACCAAACAGAGGAAATTGCCGGATGATTTTAAAAAACAAAAGCACTTCGTAGAAAGTCCTGTTCTTCTAACAAGTAGGAATCACCACTCCTAATTCCCACCAAATGACTTAAGTGCACCCAGGACCGTTGAGCGTGAAGCCATCAAGTTCACAATCAAATAGTAGCAATGCTTGTCATCAGAGATATCACTAAATGTGATAAATATAGATAAGGTTATTCAGCAATACCGATAATCTTGCAACTTTAGCAAGCTTCTGCTTTACTTCCTGCGGAAGTCTTCTCTTAATGCCTTGAAATGCAGGATCCACCTCATGAACATCAAGACTTGGTGGTCTACCTATAAAGATAATTCCAAATTAATAATAATTAAAATAATACTTATTGAGGTTATGCATAAGGGAATTCTTATTAACAAGTAAGCAATATGAATTCTCAAATGCATACATTCAGCCACTATCTTTTCAAGATCACGGATGGCCCGTTCAAGTGTGGTCCCTTTAGGCCTCATGGAGGAACTTTCTTTCACCCTTGTGGATGGTTGCTGCAGCAATGGATCAAAGATCAAATAGCAACCAAGAAAAAATAATACAGCACATCAAAAAGAAACATTTCCATCCTCAGATAGTGAACAATAGGATGTATGTACAACTGAAGGGGCAACAGTAACAGTAGAAACAACTTGCTTCGAACCTTTTAACAAATTGCTACATCAAAACTATACTGAAACAACAACAAATGATAACTATATAAGCAGTCATCTATAAGATATAATTCACTTGTTCCATGGGGCAGCTAAACGGTTATTATGACCACCATGACTTACTACAATCACTAGTTCTGCAAAATAATTGATTTTTCAGGAACTCCAGTTTACCGTGATTGGGGATTTTCAGTGTCTATTTTAATGAAAAAAAATGTCCCTGAAAATGCAAAACATAATGGTAAACCTTTGGTTGCAGCTACAAGCATACCAACATATAATATTTGCCAATCTTAAGATTCATCACCTCTCGAGAGAATCAAGAAAGAACAACCCACTAAGACATCAATAAGGTCCAGCATTCTTCCCTTATCTGATTGACTCGCCAAATTTTAGCAGATATGTACAATTAAAACTTTTGCCCCACTAATACATTTATTCTGATAACAAAGTAGTCACTCAAGTTATACCGACTTAAAAGTTGATATGGATTAATTTTCAGAGTAAAACCTAAAAGAGCATGTAATACTAGAGTATGAGACTAACGCTAGGACCTCACTTGTTTCGTAAAGAAAGGGATTGCCATTTAAAGATATACAGCAAATTTTTAAAGCAGTTCTCTTTGTGCTCGTAATCTTGCTTCATAGTAATGCAGGAATTGAAATGTACCACTTACTTTAAGAACAAAAATCATTAGGTTCAAGAGTTACTCCCTCTTTGATAAAAAGAATAATATTAAAAATTAAAAGAGAATCATCTCTTTATATAAAAGTCATAATAATTCAATAAAGTTCTAGATGGGCAACCATTAATTAAAGGCTTAAGTGCATATACCAATTGTTTCAGCATAGTTGATCATCCTTACAAATTTTCAACAAAAAAGGGGAACAAAATTTTTCATTTTAAACCGTCTATTTTCATGTACATTTTGAGCTTCACACTACTAGCCGTTACATTTTGCCCCCAGGATTTCCCACTCTACTTAAAATTCTAACATTTGCCATTAATTCCATGACTAAGAAATACATATCTCTAATTTAGTAAACCGACATAAATAGCATTGAGTTTACTTCAAGTTGGCCATGGATTTAGTAACCTGCTCTAATCACACCAAAAATAAAATTATATAACAACTTGATTTAAGTAGCAGTTGCATAAACAAAACATCCTGTGTTTATAACACATTTAGCTGAATAAACAAGAAAATGCCTCACCCATCAGAATAATGATCACTGTGTCATATGTTAAATAAAATGCAGGTAAGGAGACATGAATGTATAGGAAGAGAGGCAAATGGTTGAGAAAGAAGATGAGGTTTTGAGGCTTTAGTGGAAGAGAGGAGGAATACAGAGGGAGTGGACAATCGTACAATTGAAAGCTAGGAATATCCTTATCCTTTCTATTTTAATCGAATCTTGCTAATGATCAAATTAGATAAATTCCTTGAACCCTTTTTATTATCAGCAATATAGCAAAGGGAGAATATGTAGTAAGCTTAAGATAACAATAAGGCAGGATGTTCTTGTCAATTATTACATGAGCTTGTATCATATCAGCACAACAATGAAAGGTTTGAATGAGATTTTGTCAAGAGTGATGACCTCCTTGTGAAAATGATGACCAAAAGGAAGAGAGAATTCATTGAAGACAACATATAAAATGTTGCACAATCACCAAGAAACTATGTTACACTCTACATATCTCAAATTTTCCAGATAACTTTTTTCCATTTCTCCTTCAGCAATTAATGTTAGTATTTTGACCAACACAAATAGTAAAAGATTACTAGTTCGTTTCAGGAACTTCTCTTTCTGGAATGATCAAGTTAAGTCTTTCTTTCAAAATTTAAATTTACCTATCTGCACATCAGCAACTAACAGGATTATAAACTTGAGATTATGTACATATGTCACATTCACATATGAATTCCTTTTAAAGACAGCAAACAAGTTTAACTAGAAATTCAAGAAGTCAGATCGATACTATCTAGAGTTCCTGACACTAATAAAAAAGAAAAAGAAAACACTAAAAACTAAGTTAAAGCAAGTTGAAGAGTAGTGAATTCCTTAAAAATGCAATGGATATACAGAAAGATTTTTGAAAAGAGATGTACTCACCACTGCATGCATAGGATACACACTCATAGAAGAGTTCATAGCAGGAAAATTGCTGGAGCCATATTTCTCCTTACGCCGAATTTTAGCTGACACTTCTCCAGTTTCACTTTTTAGCAATTTTTTTGGCTGAAATTCTACTTGAACTTTACTGCGAGATGCTTGGTACAAGGGGTCAAATGAATGACTTACACTTGCCCTATGAGTAGTGTCTTCAGATGCAAGGACCCCAGATTTATGCTTATCGAAATCCTTTAGTTCCAAAGGTAGTGGTAAAACATCCTTATTTGGCACTCTCATCGTTGATTGTTCCTCTGATTTAATAGTGAAATCAGCAGATTTCCTTTTGTAGACCGTTGTAGTGGTTTTTGATTTATACTTTAAACTCCTGCCTTCCTCACTGTAATGTTCACCATATGGAGCATAAACTTTAGCAGGACTTGGTTTCCTTCCCATCACTGGTGCATTCCTAGCAGCATCTTTAATGCGCATACTGCCAACTTTAGCAGGGCCACCAGGAACAAGAACATGACTACCATCACCGTGCAGTTTTGTGGAGTCCCTTCTTCTTCTTCTTTTAGGTGCCTCTTTAGGTGATGAGCTAGGCTCACTAAAACCAGAAAAAAAAAAAAAACACATGAATTGGATGTTGATCATCCACAAACAAAAATAAGTTTTTACATATATTAGATGATACTATCAAAGGGGACATAGTGAATGGTCGCACTTACTAAAATCTTGTTTGAAAGAAAAATTTCAGATAGGTCAGACCATAAGTTAGCTTGAACTTCAATTTTCAGGCAATATAGAAAACTAAAGCAAATAAGCTAATGATGGCTGATGATAAAACAAACCAGATAAACAATAATATTTTGGCAACGACAGCTGTCATCTTAAATATGTGGAGGACCTTCTGCTGTCCAATTAACTAACTTTGTGAGAGATGCTTGCTAACAAGTTCATAAATGCAAATGTAATTAATCCTTCAACCAGCACAATCATCAAATTATATTACCGACAAAATTTAATGCAAAGAGGAGGCAAAGAAATTATAGAAGAACCACCAGTTCTTGATGTTTGCATATTAGTTTAAGTTTAAAGTCTGGGAAAAAATAAAATATAATAAACAAATGCAACAACCGATCTTCTGAAATGTGGCCTCAATATGTGGGCCATCAAGGGCATAGCACAGAAGCAATATGGGTGTGTACATGGACAGGAGGTACACATGCAATAGATATTAAAATATTCAAAATGTACATGATTGATTATAAGCAAGTACTTATGAAGAGATATCATTGATACGTTACGGCAACATGCTAAGGGAGGTGTGATTAAAATATTAAGTACATGCTATTTATTTTATCCAAATAATTTAATAGTATAAGAATATCAAGGAGGAAACATAAACCACATGTAACAACCACATATTCTTTATGCAAACCGCATACACTATGGCAAAGTTATATACAATTGTAAATATAATTTTATAACCCAATATTTATGCCACCATGGATCATATATGCAGTCAGACAACAAACATAGGCCCTATGCAATGTAATAATGTAACTGCATACTGCATTTTAGGAAATTGGCAACCACCATCACTGGATCACTCCTCATATGCAAAACTATTGCATCCTACCTATATTCACGCCCTGAAATTAGTAGCAAATTAGTGGCCTAGTGATCAGCGTTCTCGCCAACGTAGGGTTTGGAGAGGGTCAACATATGCAGCCCTGCAATTACAGGCAAAGAGACTCTTTTTGTGACTATAACTCTGCTCATTCAAATCATAAATGAGCAAACTTACCATAAGGCCAAGGTCTGCCCTCTATTCATCTCCATAATCACTCCATAACAATCATTTTTAATTAGCCTAAGTTAATGTTAATGGAAAATTCAATTAATCACTGAAAAACATGACAATTTTTGGAGATGTTTAGTTGGGAAATTAAACTTCAAAGCTAAGATTTTGAAACACGTGAAAACTGTTCCATTTCCCCTCATCAAAATCTCAGTGTTACTTGGAATTATATAATACCCCTAATATATGGACAAAATCTTAATGACAACAACAAAACATGAAAGGACTATAATTATTTTCAAAAAAATGCAGTCAGAACACAAGTGCCAATACTTTATGGCATGGTACACTTCGACCATGCCAATCAGCACTGAGATACTGGCTATATAACAGAGACAAGAAAAATGATAATGCAGTTATAAGGTCTAAAACCAACTATAAATTGCTCTTCCAAGAAAACATAAATAGACAGACACTAGAAAATCTACCAACTGTAAAAGATTAATGTGAATATATACCAAAAAAACATTGAATATATCAGTTAGACAAAACAACAAGTTAAGAGATCATAGCTCCAACACAACCAATATCTTTCAAATCAGCAAAATAATAGCCCCAGAAAAGGATAAATAGCTCAGAGAAATGCTCTAACTTTATTGACAATCGTAAAAGTAAACCATGTGGGAGAAACTTACATTTGCTCTAACTTTCCTTTATTGACAAAATATCCATTATGCTTGGTTGACATTTTGTCCACTTGAAAATATTCATCCTGTAATAGAAGCAATTCTTAGAAATTTGAATGTTAAACCAGTACAATTGGCAAGAAATGAAAGCCATGAGATCCAACTAAACAATAAATTGCATGTTCACACAAATCATCATAGATGCATAATATAGGATAGTTGCAACAGATTAAGATGTGTCAATCCATCAGGTTGCTCCGAAGTAAGAAACAGCTAGGAGGGACATCCACTCTCTGCTTAATGCATTATAGTGAAACCAAACTTATTAGAGTGATTTAAAAAAATATTGTAGAACATTAGAATTCTTAAATGCCAAATATTTCAAGAAAATTATTGGTGTCGCAGTGTTATCCCAGGCAATTAAATCCTTTAGGAAACAAAATGCATAATGTTAGGTCTTATGATCTTACCAAACTACTTCTTGTTAAACAGTTTGTTTACTGGTCAACCTGATTTAAAATGTTGAGAAAATCTGAGATTTACCGATTAACTCAATTTCAAAACCGATATCAGCTAATATTGGATCACCAAAAATGAGATAATTTCTTATCATCATCAAGCTAATAAAAGCTTCAGATTTATTTAGTTGTTATTATTACAGTAGTACATATATTTTTCTTAAGTTGGAATATAAACATATATAGTATTTACTATTAAGACATAAATCCACCGAAAGAAAACTACAAGACTAGAGCCTAAACTACCAAAACTGGAACCTGAAGAATAAGGCCACAGGTGGAAGTGACAATGTGACAGGTGTTTCCACTTCTCACCCAGTAACACATGGAACTGGTCTCAAAACTTGCTCAGTTCTTCAAGAAGAAGATTCAAAAAATAAAAAAAATCAGATATCTCATGATATTTGCAATTGCAAGTTATTCAAGAGAAAGCATCAGAAAAACAATCACTTTTCTATGTCCAGAACTGAGGTGCTTCTTGCTAGAAATATTCAGCATAGGGAGAAACATGACCGAGAAGTTGACTTTTCAGCTAATCTAGGATACACATAGCATAGCCTCAAAAAGAAACATGTCCAGGTGATGTAGGGCTTGTCTATCCTTGTTGCTCCCACTATCCAGATTCTATAGCATTTAAGTTCAAAACCCCAAAAAAGAAAAGATCCAGACCCCCATAACTTAACTTCTTTTGTTCCAAACAAGTAGCTAGTGATTCTATTAGAAAATACCAAATAAAGGAGTTCCTTAATGTGCAGTTTAGCAACGATGCAAATACCAGTCACTGGATCTAATAACAAAATAGTTTATAAAATCTAACCATTATCTATGCCAATGATATTTATGAAAAGGTAAACAACACCAACCAACTCAGCATCATCTATAAAAGAATCCTCGGTGTCATATTGATCGTCATCTGGAATATCATCAAGTTCTTCTTCATCACTGCTTTGTTTGCCCTGGATCAAAAAACTTGCATGATCAGCAAAGACACCAGACCACAAACAGAAAGATTTATAAGTGAAAGAGCAACAATTCAGAACTCATAATCTTCACGAACCATTTGACCAAAAAATTTGAACATAAGAAGCCTTTCATACCATGTATAGGCGTTCAATCTTCTCAATAACTGCACTAAAACGATTTGGAGGTGGAACTGCATCTTTTAATTCATTTTCTGCAGGCTGAACTCCAACAATAAGACAAATTATAAAGAATTCTCAACAATGATATAGAATACACATAATATTATACAAGGATCACAAATCTCCCTCATATTTGGCACATTGCTGTGCTTATGTACATGCATATAGACGAAAAAAGAAATGTACTAGATATACATAAAGCTCAAGCACGAAACATGGCTTTCTCATAGTTGCACATGAGTACTTCAGTAAAAAACCATAACTCTTCTATAACAATCCAAATCTCCAATATTCATGGATACAATATTTATAGTATCCGCAAAAAAACCTTAAAAAAATAGCTTATGGCTATGGCTGGAGTCGAAACCATGGAGATGCAAACAGTATAATATGGTATTCACTAGCAATTGATCATCTACAAGGCTGAAGAACAAGAAAATGTCTATGTTATTTAAAAGAACGGGCAATGTTGAACCAATTGGAGGAAATTGCATATGCCATGGATGTCAGGTAGCACATTGCAAACACCATAACTAAATCAACAAAAGTCAACCATCCAAACGGCAGCAGAGAAAGCACCTTACAAACGGGACAAACCCTAAAATTTGCAAGAACGATCAAACAAGAAGAAGGGGGAAAAGAAAAACTAAATTGGTGGAGGTGGGGAAACCCTACCGGACCACCTGTTCCGACTTGGACAGCAAGAGGCCGCTCGGCCACGGATGCAATTGGAAGGGATCCGCCCCCTTTATTGGACTCCTTAAGCAGCCGCTTCCAAGAGACGATGGTGGTCTCCCCGGGCTTGAGCTCCACCGAGAACCGAACCCTCTGGCCCCCGTCTGCGGGCGGCAGCGGCTCCTCCTTCGGCGCAGCGGCGGCGGCGGCGACATCGGAAGAAGATGAGGACTGGGGCGGCGCCGGAGGGGGCGGGGCCAGTGCGGGAAGCGGAGGCGGCGGTGCCGGGGCAGCAACGGCCGCGGCGGAGGAGGAGGAGGAGGAGGAAGCCCTAACCGCGGCTCCTTTCTGGTCTTCCATGGTGAGCGCGGAGGAGAATTCCTAAGGCATACGCGATGCAGAGGATCGATTAGGGTTCCGGAGATGGGGGGAAGGGATCGGATCGATCCCCTTCGCTCGCGCAAAGCAGGATGGGACGGAGCGGGACAGGGGGCGCCGCGCGGGATTGTCCGGTGCGAAGAATGGTCTTAATCGGACATAAATGTGGCGCTGTTGCAGTGACTCCAATCCAATCCTTCTCCTTTTTCCGCCTTGCGTTGGACTGGGTTTGGATCCCCTCCTCTGGCAACAAGCGATGCGTGCAGAAAGCGCTTTAATACTCGTGTCTACCGACCGTTTAAATCAGACTCTCGAGTACTCGTTTGGGTATCCAAAAAAATATTATATCATACAAAAATATATTTAACTTTTATTTAATTTAATATTACTCACTAATTAATTATGTAGTACGATAAATAAAAAATATATATATTTAAATCAAATATTAGTTTGTCTTATAATATTTACGTAATTAATGGGATCGGGAACCAAGGAAGACATGTATTTATTGGCACTCACTCCTATTCGAGAAACCTAACATACTAAGAGTGAGTACGTATGTACGTAACAAGCTCCGGGAAACCAATATATTTGCATACATGTATTATTTAAACATGTAAATACGTGTATATTAATTAGGCTTATGTTTTTGTGTAACTTATGCAATTTTAATTACTCAAGCAATATAGACGCTTTTTGTTTATGGTTGATCTATTTTGGTAAAAGTGGTTGGCAAATAATTCTGAACTCTGAATATAGAAATTAAAGAAAATCAATGTTATTTTCTTGATTGATAGAAATCCAACGATTTTTATTTCTCGGTGATGAAACACATCAATGGATATCCATTTTAATTATTATTTATTGTCTTTATCAATTTAGATTGTATAAAATTATTCAAAATCAATGAAGAAAATTTTTTTTTTCCCCTGAAAGCAAAATCCATTTTCGGTTCATTCCAATTCAATTTTAATTGACCCATACAAACTCCAATTCATTTAAATTCAATTATAGCAAAAATCAATACCAATTCTATTGTATGAGAAGATGATCGCGAGGGAGTACAGAAGATTTTCCATGAGTGCTCTGAATTCCTCCTGTTTCCCCTCTTCTTTCATTGAAAGCATTCGAGTGTAAGAATTTGCAACAAAGAGAATAAAAAGAAGAAAAAAATGAAAGTAAAGATTACACATGATTGTGTCATTTAGTGACACTCTGTATCTCCTGTATGTTCTGAATTCGACACCCTAAAGCAGATACCACTAATGTAGTGCATGCAGACTGTACCATCTAATTGAATTGCCCAAAAGCAGCATGGAGCAGATATTATAGCCTCTTACTATAGTCCACCAATATCTACATTTGTGTCGCACAAACACATGTGGATGCCACATCATTGCCAACAAACCAAGAAATTATGACATGCAATTTACTATATACACATAGCATTTCTATAACATCCATAGTAAATCTTAAATTTTGATCCTAAGAATATCAGGACAAAACTGTGTAATTCAATCATTCTTCTTTTGTATATTATATTTTATCTATGACCTCAAAAGTCATCATAAGTAAGAAGGAATTGCTGTTAAAATGAATACTTGTGCAAGTAACATAAATGTTGCCACTGAGAAACCTTATTACTAAAAAATTCTTTCTCCTGTCGAGAATATTAAAAATATGAAGGAACTGACGATGCAAAAGCATCCTGGAAGGAAGAAAACTGGTTTCCAACTTTCAGAACTTGAAAGATCAACATTAGCATTCTTTGCAGCATCCAGGATTCTTCCTGTAACGCCAACACCGACCACGCCAGCCAAAGTTCCTGCAGTGTTAGAGATTCCCATGACGATACCTGCGTACTTCGGAGCTACATCCATGTGATTCACTGCAAACCCAGCCCTTCCGAGTGCCAGCGAACCAAGAGCAATTGAAGAACAAAATACTGCCCCTGTGGAGCTTCTGAACGACGGAAGGACCATCAAGGCAACAGAAGCAACCAAAAATCCAAGTGTGTTCAGAAACTTGCGGGTCTTAGTCACAGATAAGATCCTTCTAGTGATCAGATAGTCTGCCGCAGTTCCACCTATGTTGGAAAATATAAACATATTAAGGTAAGGCAGCATCTTGGAAGATCCCATTTCCTGAAGACTTTGCTTAAGGCCAAGTTCAAAGTATGTCGGTAACCAATTCATCAGCACATATAACGCGTAGTGGAATGTGAAGCTATTCACAACTATTGCCCATATAGGTAAACTGAATGTAATTGATCTCCATGGAATTTTAGCAACATGGACAGAACCATTTTGCATAATGGTCTTCTGCAAGCCCACCTTGTTGTCTTCAGACTTTGTAATTGGCAATGAGACATGCCCAAAACCAGCAGATGTAGCTTTAGAATGATCTGAACGGGGTGCATCACTAGCAAATTTGAACCAAAGAAAGGTCCAAATGGCACCCAATGCAGCTTCAGCCAAAAATACTGACTGGGGACCCTTGTATTTTACCAAACTTGGAAGAAGCAGCATACCACTTGCTGCACCAAGATACATCCCTGAAGTTGTTAGTGATACAGAACGGGAACGCTCGAAAGGTGGGACCCATTGCGCCAGAACTGTGTGAATAGAAGGGAAAATAAAACCTTGTGCCACCCCAACAAGAAGGCGAGCTACAACTAGTACAGTGACAAGATTAGGGTCTAGTGGAACCACAGCACATATCAGAGACCACAATACAAAGGACATGAGCAGAACACGCCTTCCGCCTATATGCTGTGCTACCCAACCACCAGGTATTTGTGACAGGGCATACCCATAATAGAATACCGAAAGGATCAAGCCCTTGATTGATTGATCCACGCCGGCAGCATTTGCAGCTGAAGTATAAGCAATGGAGAAGCCTATTCTCTCGATATAGCAAACATTTGTACATATGAAGGTCAGAAGGACAATAATGTACCTTTTCGGAAACAACATTCTTGCCATATCAGTTCAATATCCAATTAAATCATGCGGTATGCGTTCTGATGTTTTGTGTCCTTTGACTCGCCATGATGCTCCCTTTGCTTCTTCTTAAGACTGATGAGTTCTGAAGAAATCAAATATCCGTTTCTTGATCCATTAGATATAAAAATTGTATCATCTGAACAATAAGAATTGCGCTATATATCAAAAACTTCTGCAATTTGAAGCTCGAATTTGGCACATCTCTGAACTTGTTTAAATTTAATAATAAAGAAACATAAAAAATGATGCAAGAAAAAACTTAAGATTCATGCTACATCAAGTTTGAGTCATGGAAGGTCAACTAATTTTCACTTCCTTTGTCATTTTCTCTCAAATGTGATTAGTTGTGTTTATTTTAAGTTCAAATTAAAGGTCGAACAGATACATATGAAGATTATCTTGTGATAGATTTATGAGTAAACAAAGGAAAAAAAAGACATCATTTTATCAGGAACTTCATGTACCTAGAATTGACTTACTGTTACTAGAAATATGATGGAAACCCTTGTTGAGAAAAAGCATGCTCTGTTCTTGATTTGAAATGGAATTTTGGTTTCTATCTTGTGTCAAGCAGTGTAGTCAAAAGGCGCTAGGCGCTAAACCTTGAGATGAACGGGGGGAAGAGGGAGAAGGGATGGCGCCGGAGAAGGGGGAAAGCTGCGACGAAAGGGGGAAGAGTGATAGGAAGAGCAAGGAGGGATCGGGGAAGGGACGCTTCTACGAGGCGCGGAGACGGGGGGTGTGATGAACGGGGGAGGAGGGAGGAGAAGGGAGTGTGCGACGGCGAATGGAAGAGAGAGAGAGAGAGAGCGAGAGAGAGATACCGGGAGGGGAAGATGACGCCGCCGCCAATGCTACGCCATTCGCCGATGGAGAGGAAGACAGCCGCCGTTCGCGAAGGAAACGCCGCAGTCGCTGGGGAGAAAGGTTTCACCGCCGCTGCGTTTAGGGCACGGGCGCGCACGCCGGGGGGGGTAGGCGGGAGCGGGCGTGGGGGGTTGGTGTTCGGTTACGGTGTGACCGTTCCCATTTATCGCCAGCCCAGCCCAGCCCAGCCCAGCCCATTTATCGAATGCTCGGCCAGCCTCCCTTCGAGCGTCCGATGACGTCACTATCCTTGTCCTCTTGTCATTTATTTCTTTCTCTTTATGACGTATGACAACATTCCCTGTTTTATGCTCATTGGCACCTTGAAGCAGTCACTAAGAATCCCATCTTAACCATGGTTTTGCTGGCTGCAGCAACTCCATGTTCTGCCTACTGCACAACCCTACCTATCTATCGGACGAATGCTATAAAGATCATAGTCACTATTTACTTGCAGTGACTGACTGTTGACCTTTGTGGCCTCTTGTCAGCATTGGCATTGAGATCGAGAACCTAAGAGTCAGCAGCAAAAAGCAACTTCTTCGTCCTCCATCAGTAGTTGCCTTCGTCAGTCTCCAGACCGCAACCCTCGGAGCACTTCAACCATTCAATGGTTGCCTCGAGATTCAAGCCAGCTTGCTTTTCCTGTGTTTTCACCATCACCCAGATCCAACTCTACATGATCCTCGGCGACCGGAGGTCGTACCGCCATGGCGTATCATCATATGGCTGAGAACAAGGGCCATCTTATCCTGCTAACCTGACCTTCGACATGCAGGAGGAGGAGCCATTGCTGTCATGACAGGGGTTGACTCTTTTAACAGATAGAACGCAAATGCTAGAAGGTCCTGTTCAGAATCCATGAGGTCGTCTGCCATGTATATCGAGACCTGAAGGAGTCAACTATGGAAGGCATCCAGATTCCCTGGGCGGCACAGCAGCAGTAGCGGCTCACTCTTGGCCGCTAGCAGACCATCAGTGAGGGACAAAAAGGTGTTCAAACACTAAAGTTTGCCTCCCCACCTTCAATGGCTTCTTGGAGTTGTCATCTTCGTTTTCCTTGATCCTTGGGAGCTCGAAAGAGGCCGGAGTGGATGCCTGCAAGTGCACTGGAATGATTTGACCTTAAAATCGTAATAAAAGCTAGACTTTAGAATTGATGCCTTGGCATGGTCTCAGAGCTTTTAGGTTTTGATTATACTACCACTTATCACATGCTTTTCTCTTGCCATATTAATCTTCAGCCTCAAGGCAAGTGACCTAAGAAAAAGAAGCCCGAGATATAGCATGGTCTACCAACTGCGCATTAACACACTCGCACATCACATTAAAACACTCTTTTAAGTATGACCAACAATGGACGCTATTGAGCCTTTTGACTACAGTCCAGTTGCATACAAAACCATAAACAACCTTAGACCACAAACCTCAGGAAATATATGACTCGGTTTTAAAGCTGTAATGAGTACGTACCCACCCAAATCTGCAAGTGCTTAAAGGCTTCATAATGCAACTTGATAGCTTTCTTCGAGATGGAATAAACCTTCAAAAATTCTCAGTCTCACAGAGTGGAATAAGGCAAATCATTATATTCCTAGCAGTAGTAAACAATGCTAATTGAGTTGTTCAAATCAACCTATAAGCATAGTTGGGAAGGAGGAACCTATTCCTCTCCCCACCAAAGGATGGTGGAAACGCAACACACGTGGGAGAGATGCATGAGAGTAGGTTTTTTTTCTTTGTATCGAGACTGCCATCCTCTGCTTATATAAAGGCCACATTTCTAGTCTCTGTTTGCTCATCACCTCTTAGAGCTTCTTCCCACTGCTCCACTGCAGTGGGTACAAGTTTTTGCAGAAGCCAGATCGAGGAGCACGCCTCAATGTCTAAGGTAAGAAACTCATCAAGCCCGATGCTTTCTTTTCACCTATCTTTTCTTCTCATGCATTGCTCTGCTTGCCTGCTGCTCATTAAGTTGTCTTACCTTTGTCCGTTTGGTTTTCCGATTTGGATCGGTTGTGTCGATGAAGATGGGGGAGAATGGCGCTGCCAATTGCCACCAGCATGTAGCTTTGGCACCTGTGGAGGTGTCCGTGGAGCTCGGCTTCCAACATGGAGCTTCGAAATGTTTCGACGATGATGGCCGTCTCAAGAGGACTGGTAACGAGAAGAGAATCGCCGTTTCTTGACCTTCTCTCTTCTCCATATACTTACTTCTCCTACAAAGTCTGATACTGTTAAGCTTTGCAGGGACCGTGTGGACTGCAAGCGCGCACATCATAACGGCGGTGATCGGCTCCGGCGTGCTGTCCTTGGCTTGGGCAATTGGTCAGCTCGGATGGGTTGCAGGCCCTGCTGTCATGCTCCTCTTCTCCTTTGTGACATTCTACACCTCTGCCCTACTCGCTGACTGCTACCGCTCTGGTGATCCCGTCACCGGCAGGCGGAACTACACCTACATGGATGCGGTCCAGGCTAATTTAAGTACGTTCCGAAGCTTGCATTTGAGACAAACAGGGCTTCGAATCAAAGCTTGTCGTACATAACGAGTTCTCTTTTGACGAACAGATGGGATCAAGGTCAAGATATGCGGCTACCTCCAGTACCTCAATATCGTCGGAGTTGCCATCGGATACACGATCGCAGCTTCCATTAGTATGGTGTAAGTTGCCAGAAAACCTGGAGCTGTCCTTGATTCTTTTGGTGCAAGCAAAGGATCAGTTTTGATGGCTTTTTGGACATGTTCGAACAGGGCAATAAAGAGGTCCAACTGTTTCAACAAGGAGGGAGACGACAGCCCCTGTCATGTAAACAGCAATCCTTACATGATCATGTTCGGCGTGGCGGAGATTGTCTTGTCTCAGATCCCTGACTTCGACCAGATCTCGTGGCTCTCCATTCTCGCCGCCATCATGTCCTTCACGTACTCCTCCATCGGTCTGGTTCTCGGCATCGTCCAAGTGATCCGTAAGCCAGTCTATCTATCTGCGGTTTTGTTTGATTCCTCGCTTGGGTTGAGTCCATGCCGACTCAAATTTTCCGCTGGCGTTGACAGAAAACGGAGGAATTAAAGGCAGTCTCACCGGCATAAGCATCGGAACCGTGAGCCAGATGGACAAAATCTGGCGTAGCCTGCAAGCCTTCGGCGACATCGCGTTCGCCTACTCCTACTCCATCATCCTGATCGAAATCCAGGTACCAATTCCACCTTTCACTTCGATCAAACAGTAGATAGTTTGGCCATTTTCTTCAGTCACATTGTTGTACTGAAGCATGCCTCTGTTTTCCTGGTATGATTCCAGGACACCATAAAGTCTTCGCCGTCATCGGAAGCCAAGGTGATGAAGAAGGCAACGCTCACCAGCGTGACGGTGACCACCATCTTCTACATGCTCTGTGGGTGCATGGGCTACGCCGCGTTCGGGGACTTGGCCCCCGGCAACCTCCTCACCGGATTCGGCTTCTACAACCCCTACTGGCTCCTCGACATCGCCAACGCCGCCATCGTCGTCCACCTCGTCGGCGCCTACCAGGTCTACTGCCAGCCGCTCTTCGCGTTCATCGAGAAGTGGACTCTCAAGACGTGGCCCAAGTCGGAGTTCATCACCAAGGATATCCAGGTGCCGATCGCCTCCGGCAGATGCTACAACCTCAACCTCTTCAGACTGACATGGCGCACCATGTTCGTGATCGTGACCACCGTCGTCTCCATGCTCCTGCCGTTCTTCAACGACGTGGTCGGCTTCCTCGGCGCGATCGGCTTCTGGCCGCTGACCGTATACTTCCCCGTAGAGATGTACATTGTCCAGAAGAAGATCCCCAAGTGGAGCACGAGGTGGGTATGCCTACAGTTGCTGAGCCTGGCTTGCCTTGTCATCACGGTGGCTTCCGCCGCCGGATCAGTCGCCGGCGTCGTGAGCGATCTCAAGGTTTACCGGCCATTCAAGTCAAGTTAAAAAGGTTGCACAGTCCACACATGGAGAACAAGTTGGGGATCGCTGGGCTTACTACGTTGTTGCTGTCTGGTGGATATTATCGTGTGTAATGCTTCTTCGAAGAAGGGAGTTCACTAAGAAGAAAGTGTTTGTAATTGCATGAACAGAATATGGTTTACTATCACAGTCATGCCTCACCTATGTTTATTAAGGAGTTAGCAATAAACTATGATGAAGGCCAGTTCATTCGAGGATCCAAATGGTTGATCATGCATGCTCTAAATTCTTGTTGTCATGTTGGTATAGATCTTTCTACGGAAAACATGGATGAGTAGCCATCAATCAAGTCAATCATGCTAACTTGACACGATCAACCATAGATCTAAATAGAACATTCGGAGCTCCATTCAATCGGTAGAGGAAGCTCCATGGAATGGAACGCCAGGACGACACTTTTTAAGGGAGGCGCCTCGTGGTGGTGGGTGGTGGGTGGTGGTTGTCGGCTGCACTTTCTCTGCTCCCCAGCTGTAGCCATCACCAACGACACCGCAAAAACCAAATATCTGCTTCAAAAGGGTGGCTCAGCTGCAGCGTGCCTTCTCAGCGCATGCATGCAGCTTCAAGCGCAAGGATCGCTGTCGTCAGTAAACTAGAGGACAAGCGGGATTGGATTCTGCTTGCAGCTGTGGTTCTTTTCTTATCTTGAAGAAGCACGAGATCGTGGGATGCTTATCGGGGAACTGTGACAGTATCCGTCTTAACGTTATTCCTATTGAATTATTGCAGTGGGATGTTTGATTGGCTTTGCAATGAGAATATGGCTTTTCGTTGCGTTCACGGCTTTCTAATGATGAATCGGTCCGGGCTGATCTCCGGAGACTGCATGCACCGGTCAAAGGCATAAGCTTCAAGGATAGGAACATTCGATGGAAATAATTTTCTTGAACAGAATAATTCCTATGGAAGAGGCAGATGATGATGAATCATCGTTAGGAAGCCCCGAGACCCAATCGCTGGAGTTGCAGCAGCTATCACTTGTTAGCCGTATGATCGAAGGTGGAACGCTGCAGATGAATGAACAAATGTAAAGAACGATAAGAACTACTGATGCATGAGACGAGAAAGAGAAAGAATCTGAAAGCACCGTCACATCATCGTCTTCCTTGGCGTAATTCCACCTTCTTCCTACTTGGAGGAAATAGGTGAGAGATAAAAAGACTAATTCTTTATAGGGATTAAAGATGACAGTAACAACATGAGATACTTTTGAGTCAACATAAGCATATCGTTTATGTCGAACAAAGGTATGCGCATCTTCTTTTTCAAATCTATGAAAGTTTATATTTCAATGCATAATTATAGTTATTTTCTAACGATTGATATTAGAGTCATAAATTAATAAAATTTAAATATCTTAGATCAGTAAAGAATATTATTAGATCGAATTGTGTGTTTTTGTCTTTGATCTATTTTTGTATTAGATCTATTTGTGTGATCAAATTTGTTCATCCTTTAAATCATTATTTTAATCTTAAAAAATGTCATTATTTTGAATTAATTTTTGGTATAATATGTCTAATTATTAAATTATAGTTTTGCTCTTATGAAATTGCTTATTTCCATCGATGTCCTTTGTTTATAATTTTGCCCTTTAGATTTGGCACTATTATCTTAGTAACCATAATTTATCAATAATGATCAAAATTATGGCATAAGATCTTATAAATAAATTTGTTGGAATTAAAAAGAAAATAAAGTATATATATTTTATTTTTATTATTTTGTTAGTCATGAGAAATAATTTATTATTGTTCGAATTTAATTGCTTATGTTATTTAGAAATTCTAATTGATATTTTTGGATTATTTATATGGCTATTAAATATAGGAGTATTAAAAAATATAAAATATTGTTTATTTTCACATGAAAGTATGATGTATATTCTAAACTGTTGTTATTACTTGATTATGCTTATTGAAATTTATGCTCGATTATTATTATGTTATTTTATTGAATAAATTTTGTATTATAATATTAATTAAAAAAATTAAGTGAGCATTATCTTTAATTTACATTCATAAGTTTTATGACAATAAGTAATTAGTTGTAAATGATATTAATAAAATAATTATTCATAATAGTATCCATAATAAAGATATTTAAAAAATCTCAAAAGAGAGTCTTTTTCAATTAATTATGTGGTAGGAAAAGATGACACTATTTTTGATAGTAATGTAGATTAAGGTTGTATATCCAAAGATAATGTCACTAAAATAAATAAATGATATTAGTCCTTCATAATTACATTCTATATGTTAACACTTCGCCTAAATGAGAAATATTGATAGTTCATCGTAACTTGATAACTCAAAATATTAATATTATTATATTTATAATTTTAATGGTTCTTCCTTCTTTGTATACTCAAACATCCTATGTATTAACTTTTTTTGGATCAAATTATTTAGAATGACTTGAGCATGTATAATTTACAATGAATCTATTGAATCTTAGTCTAGCATTACTTATTAAAAGACCCATAGATATCATTGATGATAGTACTATGAATCAAGTAAACGAAACGTTTGAGAAAAATCTAATAAACTTGATTTGATATTCATAGGAATGATAATTATAAATAATATTAAGACTTCATTATAACTGACACATATCACTTATATCCACTTACCCATGTAAGACATCGATATCAAGATATGACGAGAATATCTCTTGCACAATACGAGCCTCACATCGAAACGATGGGCATCGATGGTACGTTGTGGGGTCCACTCGACGAGTCACTATTGTATCACATCGCAACACTTATCAATCTTAGAAAAGAACCCAATTTATATTAAAATTAAAACCAATGTAAGTGCATGATACAAATCAATTCGAAAAAAAAAAACTTATGCAAATATGAATTAACGAGATAATGAGGGATAACTTGCTATACTATCATAATAGATTTTTTAATCAAATTATAAATAATCATACTTATAAGAGTTAGATAGATTTATTATTGTCAAATATGAGCTCAATTTTAACAAAGTTAATGAGTCATTCATTCATCGTATTAGATCGCGTTTGTAACAATTGGTATTAAAGGACATAGACTCGAATATAAAATGATTCCTCAAAACATGAAACCACTATTGGACTAGATTATGTATCACATGGATTTGCCTTAAATAAAAAGATTATAATATCTTAATTTAGTCATATATTTAATATAGATAAATATTTAGATTGACTTATAGAATATAGTGGGTTAATTCTCATTATCTTAAATATTTTGAATCATTAGTTCATATTTTATTCCATGGTAACAATCGCATTAAATATAATATGTGAGAAGTGACGAATCACGAGATAAATAATTTATATATCATGACAATAACTAAAGCTCTAAATGAAATCGGAAAACCGGAATGCAAAAGCTAACCTTCCCTTTCCTTTACCCATCGATCGAAGTTACGTTCCATGGTAATGATACGAACTATTTCATTTGAGTGAATCGGCTCGCCTTTGATTCCCATTGGACAAGGAATAGTCTCACCATTATGTGATGACTCGTTTATGGTGCTAGGAAACCATCTTTAGGCTTCTCTCGGGCCATCTACCTCTTCCTCAGAAGGCTTTTTCGACGCCAAGATTGCTCCTTTAATTGGAGGTTATCGGATGAGCTCAACGTTGGCTCGCTGATAGAGAAGATCTGAAGCTTCTATCCTCGATGCAGGCATTTGCTTAGTTCATGAGAGCGGTGGCTCCATGTCATTGGGAAGTGTTTTTGTTTTAAGTAACACTGAATTTTACTGAGTATAACGAAAAGTACATCACTGTTTGCATCACTGCGAACCAGAAAATCAAGTTCTGAAACCTAATCTTCGGTCTAAAATTAACGTGAATTGATTTTACGAATATACATCATCGACTAGTATATGTTATTATCAGTTTAATATATGATCCATGGGTTGACAAATGTTTATAGGGGCGGATCCATCAGGCTAAGCGGTTTTTTTCTTTGGCTTGAAAAAAAAATCTAATCTAAGTATATAGAATAGAAACATGTTTAAGTAGATTTGAGCCTATCATGATCGAGCACGATTAGTTCGAAACTCAATTTAAAACTAGTTTTAAGTCTATTTAATTTTCATAACCATCTTAGACTGTGTTAGGATCAAGTAATCAATCTCTAACACATTATGATAGAAAATGTCTACTCATCCCACGAGATCAAGTTACGATAAAATCATTGATGTTTTGATGCATGATCTTATAACTCATTTATAGCCAAATAATATATGTAACGTTCATAGCATCACCAGTGACATTATAATATGCATTTAAGTATATTTTTATAATATATATCCCCGACATAGCTCTTTTACGTAATCTCAGCTCGAATCCCTAAACTCTTCAACCTACGACACAGACTCAATAATAAATAAACTAGATTCTGAACCCTAGCCATATGTCGAACAACTAAAATATATGATAACAAAATGCAAGCTATGTTAACCTGCTTTATTGTTTGCTTAACATCACATAATGTTAGGTTTCTCATTCACAAACCATGCGATCCACATGATCCAAGTATTATTTAGTCCCATGCAATTGGCGACATCCACATGAAGATGTCGACTTATCCCATGAGGTCAAGCTATATAACTGTGCCGATGAGCTAACTCGATAAAATCGTTAGTCGGTAACCATAAGCCTTGATGTTTCGATGCGCGATCTCGTAGCCCATTTATAGCTAAATAATATACGAAACGTTTTTAGTATCATCAATGACTTGAGATGGACCGAAGAATGAACCTCATTTGATTATGAACCCAGTCATATTTCCAACAACTAGAATATGTGATAACAAAATACAAGCTATGTTAGCCTATCCTTAGCATCACTTAATGTTAGGTTTCTCATTCACAAACCATGCGATCCACACGATCCAAGCTTTAGTTCAAATCAACGAGGAACTCCATGACATGCACAGGAGTCCAAAATCTAATCCAACCCAAATTATTGTCCCATTAAAAAGCCCGAGGCTACAATCGACTACAACAACCAACCTTATATCATCACGCGAATCGTCAAGCCAAATTATGAGAGTAGAAAGGAGGATGTCGACTCCATACATTGTTATTATTATCATCTTCCCCATCACAAGAAAACAAAGACAGAATAAAACATATTCTAACTCTTCATTTCCTCCACCATCTCGTCTCGATATACAAGTCATGCAAGTGATTTTTTTTTTGGGGCCACATTTTCTCATCCGATAATATATTCTTAGGCAAAGTTGGCAGTCTTCATACGGAGGGTTGTCGATCAGTCGCTACATTCCAACGAGAACTAAGAAACATATATAAATTGGATGATGCAAGTACGGTGAAAGAGTGTTCAAATCTATGTTTTGTACGCTTCATAGGCTTCGAATTCTTCCTTCGATACATTCGTGTCATATATCATGCGTTTCCAACTTTTCTTTCTCATGTTTTTGTCTCGCATCACATCGTTGTGGGTGATGTGACTTTTTAGTTTTCAGGGAATCCGCAAAAATATATAGGTTGGGAAAACTAGTTTTTTGACCTCCTTTGTTTACTCTCTTAAATTATTGTGGCATGGAATGAAATCTCTCTCTAGATTTCTCTTACTTGGCTCTATCTATCTTTATAAACTTGACCTTTCAACCAAAGAAGAGTGATTTGTTGATGTGTTTTGAAATTGAAGCACATAAGACATTAATGAGGATGAGTTGAATGATTTGTAGCATCCACTAGATTTTGCCAATGCAATTCAGTCCATTCAACATTTTGATGCCACACTTCGAATTTGTCATTAATTTTACATGTCATTTTCTTTTTCTCTTTTTATTTTAGCTAGTTTAGTCGTAATCAAATTTGGATAAGACATCGACTCGATCGACCCTTGGATCACTGGTTCATCGATCGATAATATTCAAAAATTAAATATTGTGAAATTCCATATTGTATAGGTATTTTTTTGGTTCAATCACATTTGATTGTAATAAATTTCAAGCATTACAATGTAAACATAAAGATTAATATACGAAAAATTAAAATTAAATAATAATATATCATATTTATGTATTTTCATCTCTTCGTAATGAATTAGAGATAACAAGAGAATGATATGTAATATCTCAATAATATCAATTATGTATGTATTCGTATTGAATTCATGGAAGATCCTTTTCTAGAGAACATGGTTTAGGATAAGTAATTAGAAGATTATCTCCGTTGAGTAATTCTATTATAATTAAACTTCATTTTAATTAATTGATAATCATTATCAAAATGTTGTTTATCACTAATTAGATATGATTATATAATCGAATATATAAATCCCAAATCTTGTTTATCACTTCTTATACGTTCTTCTCTGGATAGTGATGGAGACTTTTGCAACAGTCGTTATTATGACCATCACCATGACCTTCGAGAACGAAGGATTGAGTAATTGAAATGCTTTACTTTGTCAGCCATGCATTAATGGTTGTGAAGGTGATGGTTGCTACTTCCTCGTTACTGGTCTCCCGTTATTGGTGAGAACTTCTTATACATTTTTTGATTGAATGCATAGGACGAAACGAATTAGTACAGTTGCGTGTCTGTAATTAATTCTACAATTGAGATGGCAAAACAATGCTCGTTCGTAAGAATTATGGCAAAAGTATGGAAATATTAACTTACTTCACTCTCAAAGGAAGATTCAGCGAAGGTGGAAATATTGACCCGTGTAGGCACTACGAGACGAATAAGAACACATTCGACGAAGACGTAAGAGGTGAATTCAACCTTTTTAGTGTTAGGGTTTGGAATTTTAGCGTCACTAAATCACGTTCAAGAATTTAGTTTCATCTTCCTCACATAACCTTTTTTTTTGTTGTTGTTGTTGTTGTTGTTGTTTTGTGTCTGACAATGATGTATCCAAAATAATTGGATACATTACTTCAGCAATATTTGATAGAATATTATTATAGGTAAATAAAAGACATGCATAAATAAATAATAGATTAATATACTAGAGAGACAACGTAAATAGTCAAAGAAGAAAACAAGTAGAAGTAGGCATCTCTATTGCATGAGGAGGAGGAGGATGACTCCTAAACGATTTTAACTTCCAAAGATAGCTAAGTTTTGTATATTAACGAGTGATAATTAAACTATGTGTCTTATTCAGAAATTAAATATTGACTATCAAAAATAAATTAATCTAACATCATAATGTTTCTATTGCTGATTAAACATAGTATATGTAATTCGATTATTTATTTTCTTTACGCTCTCACAGTTGGATATTCTAAATGAAAGTAAATGGAGTGAGATCAATCGCAAAATATGGTTATAGTAATGGGGAAGCCATGAATTCATTTTCTTCGATAGTGATAAGACTCGTCATCTTATAATCATCAATCATGATGATGATATATATATATGTATATATGTAGAATCTCATAGTCGCTACAACGTCGTACATCCCACGCTTCAGAACCATTAGAAGGTCTAGAACGTATTCTTCAGGGTTTATGACGTTTGACGAGGAAGGAAGGAAGGTGTTGAGTAATTGACATGCTTTCACTTTTTGTCACACCAAAATGCCAAGAAAACATCGTCTCGGCCATAATTCCATGGCTTTCGAAGGTGACGGTCGCTTCTTCTCGCTATTAGTTCCGCAGCCTCCGTCATCGTTCAAATTCGTGTCATCTTCTGAGAACGTCTCATATCTTATTTAATATAATAAATATAATAATAATATAAATTAGTATAATCGTGGGTCATAAAACCTAGTATGTCAAGTCAAACACTAATTCAATTCATCATTTAAAGTTTCTTCGTTATGGACCAAACCTAGTATATATATAACTTCTTTAATCTTCGTCATGTGTGACGAATATTTTTGTGTGGAGTTATTTTCGATACAAATATTCATCATTCATTTTTTTTTTTTAATCTCACATACAAATATTTTCGAAATTTTTCTCTATTTATGTGTGGAGTTATTTTCTTCCTCTTAACGTATGAAAATATGAAAATATTAACGTCCTTTACTCTCCGAAGAACATTTGAACATAGCGTCCATGACATGTTGCAAAACATAAGGAGTGTCAAACATGACTATGGTAGGGACTTCTAGATGAATACGAGCACATTCCACGAAGGCTTCAACCCACCCATGCACGCAGCCCGTACGTTTACCTCGTGCCTCCTAATCGCATCACTCTCTTGACGATGACATACTTCGCTTTCATGCACCTTATAATAACTTTGCTTGACTCGTCCATGTATCCAAAATATTTGGATGCATTACTTCAACAACATATAATAGAATATTATAACATGAACGTATACGTCTCAGATGGGAATCCCTTTTTTCTTTTGCCTTACAATCACACGTCACTGTATCCAAAATAATTGGATACATTGCTTCAGCAGTATTTGATAGAATCTTATAACATGAAAATATACATCACAGATGTGAATCTTCCGATGATTATTGTTGGTGAACAAATATGTTGTGGCTGGTGAGTCAGCACGGCTTGGTCCACGGGTCGATGTTGAGAGTCTTCTGTCGGCTGAGTTGGACGTCGAGGTAGGTCGGGTCCTCGCGAATGGGTGTTGATCAGCGTTTCTCGGTCCGAGCGCCTTTTGCGTTGAGCAGCGTCTTTCCATTCCCGGGCTGGTTTGCAGCTCGCCTTTGTTCACTGGATGACGATTCCCAGGTCGAGACGCTAGTGGCTTGGGGGTGGCCGCTTAAATGCAAAAATGGCATTCATCGAGTGATTCCCGACTTTGGCCCCTCCGATGAGCAAGTCAGTAGTTGTTTTTCTCTTCTCTTTTTGTGTCCTCTCCCTCCCTGGCCGGATGCCGGTCAGGGGCTTTTATATTATTGTACTAGGGTCGGTCGCACGCGGATTCGACGTGGCGGCTGATCCTCGAGGGATGAGATGGTACTATGCGGCTGCTGTCCCATGACGCATGGGACGACATGAGACGGTGCCGCCCCGAGCTTCCGGGACGGGACATGCCAAATAGTGTCTCGGTACGAATTCTGACTTAGCGTGTGGAGATGCTCCCCTTGCTGCTCCGGCATCGATACGAGTTCTGATTTAGTGTGTGAAGGTGCTCCCCTTGCTAACCTGGCTGTAGTGCGCCGTGACATCAGTTGTGACGTGTCTTGGACCCAAAATATACCTTATCGATTATAATCACAGAATAAAAAGACGTTATAGGTAAACAAAGACATGCATCAATCAGCACTGATGCAACCTTCGTGAAGCAATAGGTGAATAAATAATAAATTAATAGTCAAAGAGGAGAACACATAGAAGTAGACATCATCTCCATCATATGAGAGGAGGAGGATGAATTCTAAACGATTTTAACCAAGTGCTTCTTCTTCTTCTTCTTCTGTCTCCAACATATTACAAGTGGCATCTGCTGCTGTGATACCACCTTTCTTGTGTTGGTGGCACATACTGTGACATCGATGACAGTGGTGGAGGATAAGGTTTATTCCATTATAATCATCAATCATGATTACATACGTGAATATAGAATCTCATAGTCGCTATTCAGTCGTACATCCCACAGTATCGTAACATATGGGGATGATCGCTGAGGCTATTATTACCAACGTGAACAAGAAGAAGAACAGTGTCATTCTAATGGTATTTGCCCCCAAGGTTTTGCCACCAGGTGAAGTGGCTCCTTCTTGCGTGCTGTTAGCCCGGGACTCTCCGTCATATCGAACTCATCTCTGGTCATGCCGAGGGGAAGCTCCCAGTCAAACTGATGAACAAGGTTTGCCAGTGCGACCTCCAAGGTGGCCACCGCGAGCTGCATTCCCGGGCAAATCCTTCTTCCTGAACCGAACGGTGTGAAGTCGAAGTTCTTTCCTTTGAAGTCCAGGTCGCTGCTCATGAACCTCTCGGGCCGGAACTCTTCGGGTGCGTCCCAGTGTTTCGGGTCTCTGCTGATTGCCCACGCGTTGATCAGAACTCTTGTTTTCTTGGGGATGTGGTAGCCTTGGATCTGGCAGTCCTCGATGGATTCTCGCGGAAGCAACAATGGAGTGGGAGGATGCACCCGTAGGACTTCCTTGAGGACCGCCTTCAGGTAGACCATATCGTGCGTCTCGTCTTCTTTGACCATGTCTTTCCCTGCAGCTAATCCTCTCACCTCGTCCTGTAGCTTCTTCAGGGTCTCTGGGTGTCGAACGAGCTCTGCCATGGCCCACTCGAGGGCAGTGAAGGATGCTTCGACGCCAGCAGAAAACATATCCTGCAGAATGCCAGTGACTTAGCTTTCCAGAATCGGGTGGTGCTGTTCTTCCCATTACGTCTTTTATTAGGCTTCCAAGAAAGCAAATCCTTAAAATCACTCAACAGATGTAATGGCTACATGTGATTTAAGAGGAAATCAAAGAAGAGTTAAGCCACAAGAAATTAATGAGTCAAGTCATGCATGAAGCCAAGAGTGATGGAGTCAATATATGTTGACTCGAGAAGCGAAACTACTAGAGAAAGAAGTTGAGCCTGTTAGAATTTGGTTCTGAGAAGAAGAAGAAGAAGAAGAAGGTTATGAGAGTTTGGTTCGTGGTAAGGTTTCTTGACAGTGTCACTCGTCTTTGCTTCCTGATGGCAGCTGCGATTGCCAGCAAATGTCTTCCTAGAACAATAACATGTCTAAGAGAGGAAGAATACATCTTTCGCAGGGAAGAAGCTTACCCACAAGATCGCCTTCATCTGCTTCATGGTCAGGCAAAAGTCCTTCTCAGGCTTGTCAACCACATCAAGCAACTCATCCACGAAATCCCTCTCCTGCACCTCATCCCTGTTGAGTCGTTCGACATGATCCTGGATCATCTCATTCAGAGCAACATCCCATTCCTTGGCGACCTTTTTGGCGGTAGGGTTCAACCCGAGGATTCCATCTAAGAATCCCAACGAGGGGAAGAGTTCCCCGACGCAGAGCTCACGGAACGCGACGCCGTTGTCGTCGATCAGTTTGCTGAATAGCTGACATCTATCGGCGGCTCTGAAGCTTGTCCCTGAGACGACTCTGCCGACGATATCAGTGACGAAAGAGTTGATCACCTTGGACATGTCGATGAAGCCGGACGTCGAGGAAAGAGAGGCCCGAGAGATCTTTTGCATCATGAAGGCCACCTCCTCCTGTCGCAGAGCCCGATACGACTTCACCCTTTTGCCACTCAGGAGGTGGATGGTGCAGAGCTTCCTGGTGTGTCTCCAGTAGTCGCCAAAGGGGGCGAAACCCACGTCATGGGTATCGTAGAGTATGGTTCTGACCGGCTTCAGGTCCGGCCGACTGGCGAAGGAGGTGTCATGAGTTCTCATGACCTCTTCGGCCATGTCGGCCGACGAGACCACGAGGGTGGGGACATGGCCGAAATGCAGCAGCATGAGCGGTCCATGCTTCTCGGAGAGGGCGGAGAGGGAGCGATGAGGGAGGGAGCCGAGCTGGAGGAGGTGGCCGAGCAGCGGCAGCTTGGGCGGAGAAGGCGGAAGCCGTCGCTTCTTGGAGAAGGCTCGCTTGGTGCCGAGGAGCACCAGGAGGAGGAGGAGGGCAAAGAGGAGCGAAGACGAAAGCATTGTCGATCGCCCTGAGCACATCTCGCTCCACGCGGTAACATCACACATATATAGCCGATGCGAGGCAGGAGACCGACTCTGTTCTTAGTCGTACCCGTGCCGGACCGTTTCTGAATCGTTGAAGGGCGGCCGATCCCGTGGCTGCTACGAATCACGAGACTTGGGTGTCGGTCACGGGCTGCTGCTACTGCGTGCGACCACTGAAACAGAGGTTAGCAAACACAAGGAGCCGAATTAAGTCAAGAATGCGAAATGCAAGATTAATACGCTGGTGGACGCGTTCGGTGTTCCGTCACTGTCTGTTTGATGTTGTTGAGAATAAAATCTGAAGCGGAATATTGTTTGTAGTATTGGATTCCTCGTCAAAATATCAATTTGATATCCAAATATAAATATCAATCAATACAGTATAAATAATAGAGCAAATAATCAATCACACAGTCAGATCAAATTTTTTAACGTAAAAAACTCAATATGAGAAAAATCACGGGACCGTAGTCCACCTTAAACTTCTACGATCAATAATAATGATAACATGTTTACAGTAGGTCTTCTATAGAATAACTAGAGGATCAGAATAACATCAACAACATAGATCTTGGCTCTAGCATTTCATCACATAGGATAGATCTCCCCAAAGAGAATTTTAGGTCTCACAGAATGGATACAACAAGAAAATACCTTAGAGAGAGTAAACTGCAGATCAACACCGTTAGGATTATAGAGTTTACTGCAAGGATTCTTCACATAAAATTTGGGCCGAAACTGACAACGTTTAGCTACCGATCATCAAGCTGAAAACTCAGAAACCTAATCTTTCTCTCTCTATTTCTCTCTTCTCTTTCCTCTGCACGCTCACCTACACACACGCACGCTGCACTTACTAATTTTGCCCTTTCTCTCTCTCTCTCTTTTTAATTTCTTTGATTTGGGATCAAACGACTCAATTTGTCCAAGCCCACATATGGGCTGAACCCAATAATTCTCTCCCTCCAGCTCATATGGTGGGCTGTACCAAGCCTGCTTTTCGCCTACATGCTTCAAGCTTCTCCTTAGGCAAAGACTTTGTCAACATATCTGAACCATTATCATTGGTATGTACTTTTTCCAATTATAATTCTTTCATCTCAAGCACATCACGAATCCAATGATATCTCATATCAATATGCTTGGATCTAGAATGGTATGTTGAATTCTTGGAGAGGTGAATGACGCTCTAACTATCACAGTAAATAGTATATCCTTTCTGTTTCAAGCCTAATTCCTGTAGAAACTTTTTCATCCATAAAGCTTCCTTGCAGGCTTCAGTGATTACTATGTATTCTGCTTCTGTGGTTGATAGAGCAACACACTTTTGTAACTTAGACTGCCAAGAGACTGCTCCCCCTGTAAATGTCATTAAGAATCCCGAAGTGGACTTCCTGAAATCAGTATCACCTGCCATGTCTGCATCTGTGTATCCTTTTAACATAGGTTCATCATTACCAAAACATAAACATAACCTGGAAGTACCTCTTAGATATCTTAATATCCATTTTACTACTGCCCAATGATCATTTCCAGGATTTGAGAGAAATCGACTGATAACTCCAACTGCATGAGCTATATTGTTGAATCTCGGATTTTGATGATGAAACTATTTGATTGTGTTTAGATGTTTAATTGCATTTTGAGTGATGCAGGTCTACTCGATCAAGATTAGACAGTTAACGCAGGAGGAATTGACGTTGCGCCGGAAGAGATCACGTCAGGATATTGGATGGTAGAAGGCTTCGGACGTCGGGCATCGGGCCAAGAGCAGAATTGTGCCAAGGATATCGGGGTTGCGGAGGTCAACCGCCGATTGGGCAACAAGCCGCAAGAGAGGATGATGTGCTGAAGAATCGGACGAAGCGCCAACCAATGACGTGCCGGGCAATAGAATGGCAATTCACGTTGTAATAATTGTCTAGATCGGAGTAGAGTTTTGGCTTGTGTGTACAAGATTAACTACGATAACAACGAAGACATAAAGCAAAACAAAGTGTCGGAGTCAAGTGCGAAGGATTTGTTGCGAGTTCAAGAGTTCGATGGAAGTCCGAAGTTTCGTCGGGAATGCTGTCGGAACTAGCCGAGAATGAGTAGGGAGCTTACCGAAGGGATTTTCGGAAGCTCGCCGGAAGGTTCATTGGAAGTTTACGGAGTTCGCCGAGAAAGATCGGAGCTTGCCGAAGAAGCTCGTTGGAATCGCCAAGATCAAATCCTGAAGTCTAGGAGCTTACCGGGAGTCCGCAGAATGGTTTCCGAAAGTTTATCGGAAGCTCGCCGGAAGAAGTCTTGACTTACGGACTTTGTAATAGCTTAGGAAATATCTTTAAATTCGTAGTTAGTATGTTAATTAAGATTAGGATTAGGTGTTAATCCTATAACCCAAGTAGGGGCCAATTGGGCTCAAGTTCGGACTGGTTTGGGCCAAGTTTGGAGCCCAACCAGTGAGCTAAAATAGTGTAGGCGGTGGCACCGCCAGATTAGGTGGTGGCACTGCCTAGAACCTGAGAACTGAGCGGTGGCACCGCCAGCCTCGGAAACCCAAGAGAATTCAAAATTTGGAGCTCAAATTTGAATCCTCTTGTGGCCTATAAATACCCCTCAATTCTCAACAGCGAACACAACCTTTGAGGAGTAAGAAATTGAGATAAAGCCTTAGCAAAGTCTTTAGCAAGTCTTATTTTTCAATTGCTTGAGTGTTCACCTCCTTCTTTCTTGTTGAAACCTTGTAAGAGTGTGAACCACTTGTAAAAGGTTATAAGAGGGGTATTTGTCCTTCCCCTTCAAAGCGATTTGCTAGTGGAAGTTGGGAGCCTCTTCGAAGAAGGCTTCGCAAGTGGATGTAGGTCATTTGATCGAACCACTTTAAATTAGTGTGTTCATTGAATGTGTGAGTACTTATCTTTCTGCAATCGTTATCTACACAGCATGAAGTTTCCGGTTTTTACTTTACTCAAGTTACAATCAAAGCGAAATCTCCTTGCATTTTACGGAATCATTTTTAAACTTACAAGTTTTAATCCACTGTACTAATTCACCCCCCCCCTCTTAGTGCCGCTCCGATCCTAACATATATCTGGCCTAGTACAAACCAAAGCATACATCAAACTACCTACCGCAGATGAGTAAGGCACTCTGGACATTTCTTCTTTTTCTTTCTCACTTGTAGGACATTATTTCGAACTAAGTTTGAAATGACCTGCAAGTGGAGAACAAACTGCTTTGGCTTTACTCATGTTGAATCTTTCAAGAACATTTTCAATGTAAATCTCCTGAGATAGCCAAATTTTCCTTTTCTTCCTATCACGAAGAATCTTTATGCCAAGTATTTGTTTCACCGATCCCAAATCTTTCATAGCAAAAGACTTATTTAGCTCTCTTTTAAGCTTTCCAATTTTTCCAACATCATGGCCAACAATCAGCATATCATCAACATATAGCAGTAAAATAATAAAATCATCATCTGAAAATTTCTTCATAAACACATAATGATCAGATGTGGTTCTATCATACCCTTGGCTCATCATAAAGGAATCAAACTTCTTATACCACTGTCTAGGTGCCTGTTTGAGTCCATATAAACTTTCCTAAGCTTACACACCATATTTTCTTTTCCGTTGACTTTGAAACCTTCTGGTTGATCCATGTAAATTTCTTCTTCTAAGTCACCATGAAGAAATGCTATTTTTACATCAAGTTGCTCAACTTCTAAATTCAAGTAGGCAGCCAAACCAAGAACAACTCGGACAAAGGACATTTTCACAATTGGAGAAAATATTTCTTCAAAGTTAATACATTTCTTCTGACTGAATCCTTTCACAACTAGTCGTGCCTTGTATCTTTGTTGTGAGCTATTATTTTCAGTCTTCAATTTGTAAACCCACTTATTCTTGAGAGCTTTCTTCTCTTTAGGCAATCTTACCAAGTCATAGGTGTGGTTCTCAAGCAAGAATCTCATCTCTTCTTGTAT